AACACTGAAGTAATTGAAGAAGAAAATAAAATAACGAAATAAAAGAACCACTGAAAAAGAGCATTACAGTGACTTCTCTTAGTTAAAAAGTGAAAGTGTGAAAGAAAATAGGACAAGCAATTTGTGTGAGCTTTTAAATGGTAGAATGAAAGATAAACTCAGCGTCCCCTGGGTCGAGGACGTTTGTTTTTTAGGTAGAGCAAAACTTAGTAGCAGGAGATGAAACTTAGGTTTATGTGGTGAGGCTTTGCAGACTAGGCAGTTCCATACCTTTAAAACCTGGAGATGTTTCTTAGAAGAAAATTACTAGCAAAGCAAGAAATTGCCACATAAGTAAAACTCCATGAAGAGTCTTTGGTTTTACAGAGTAAAATATGTGTCACCTTAAATTATGTTCTGCAAAGCACGCTAATTATATAAATAATGACAGTTAATTCTTATTTTGGGCTTTGAAACAGCTCACTTCAGTTGATCTTTGTATATCCACAATGGACAATAGCTTTAGGTTTACTTTTCTAATTGGACAGGAGGGAAATGAGACTCGGAACTATTAACCACAGACATAAAATGATGGAGTTAAAGTTAGATCTTCCAAGCTCACGGCTCTTTGAGAGTGCATACTGCTTGAGTGATGATAAAATTCATTACTGAATACTGCCCTTGCCTTATTCTGTAGGGTATAATTTATATTTTGAGTATTTTGACATGCACAGGGAGAAAGTACATACCATTTTAATGCAAAATCTTATTTACACATTCAATTAAAGGTGTTTTCTCAAACTAAGTTTCTGTGTCTAAGTTTCACTTCATCAGCATCAAACTTAGACACAGAAAGCTCAGTAACATTTTCTGCAATGGTAGTATCTAGGACTAAATAAGTCCCTGCGTAGATCTTTCATCTTTTTTTATACTCTTTTGAAAAAGGCGTTTCCTTCAGTTATTCCTCCCACTGTGGTTGGAGAATGTTTGTGTCAGATTTTGCCAGCTTCCTTTTGGAACACTGAGCAACTGCTCAACAAATGGCAGGTTTATGTCGGGAGGAAATCTCCACAGTTTAACGTGCTTTTGTTTCCTGTCCGTGTGTACCTTCTGTTTTGGTTCACCCATAATGTCTTGTAACCTGCACAGAAAGGCAAAGAAGCCAAGGCTCCGGGAAATAGATATTCAAGCAATTATGTACATACTGATTTTTCCACTGATTTTCTTGGCCTAAAAGGCTTTCCATGAGACAGAAGCTTCCAGGAGCTGAGGCTGCTGTATGGAGAAGCTGAGATATGAAAATAATGTCCCAAAATACCTTGCAAAACCAATATATTATCAAAAAAAGCCTCATCATCACTTCGATAAGGTCTTCTCACTAGTGAAAGCTGTTTCAGGGCACTAAAATACTGTGTACATACCAAATTGTAGTTCTGTAATGAATGTAAATATGTGCCTCTACTAGATTAGGAAACTTGACAGGATTGGGACTAGATGTATTGATCAAAAGATTTCTATATGTTTCCTATAGAAGTTTTATGGGTAAATAAGTGCTCTAATATATCATAGCATGGTGTTTCAGAATCAGAAGAGCATACATTTTTGTCATAGATTTCCACAAGTCAAGTAATACAAAGTGAATGTCGTAGATTTGGAGAATTTCCTACACATGAGAGAAAAGAAAAACCACCTCTCCAAAATACACCAGCCATGAATATCCTTACTGTTGTCTTCAGCTTACATGAAAGCATGCATTTTTCTCTATTTGCCTGAGAAGCATACTTGTAACACCAAGAAGTGTGTTTTAAACATTTAGCAGGTGAAAAGTTGCTGTGTTGGACACTTGGAAAAAAGGAATGGGAAATTTAATTATTTCTCTGAAATACCAGGAGCTTGTTAAGACAAATACATGAAGAGCTAGAATTCTAAAAGAGAATGAAATGAGTGCCATATTAATAGAAAACTAGAGACAAAAGAACTGAAAAAAAGGAACATTTCAAAAGAATCAATAGGACTTGAAGAATGACTAGCATTGAGAATTATAAAACACCTAGGAGTTGAAAATCACTTCATCATCAGTACACAGAGGAGTACTTTCCTAAGAAATTATGTGAGGTGTTACCATTCTGCACAGGAAGAATTCTCTGAGAGATTCTTCCTGAGTGAATGTCATATTTGTGACGTTTCAAGTAACATTAATGCTTATTTTGCTCATTTTATAATCCAAAATGCATAAAAATGGACTGGGTTAGTTACTCACTCTAAAAGAACAGGGTGTGAAAAGAACAGACAGTCTGACATGGGAGAATCCTGGAGCAAAATATCTTAGGTGGTATTAACATTGCCTGTGTTCCCTGACTGAATATGATCAGTAAAGACTATTTCTTGTCTAAGATCCCTAACTAGAATTTGGTCGTGAGAAAATATCAAACAAACTCAACTAAGGGAAATGCCTCATCATTACTTTTGAAAACCTGCATTATCATAAAAAATAAAGGAACTGACTGTCCCAGAACAGAGGAGATGTGATGACTAAAGACCATGAGATGGGCCTTTAGACATCACATCTGGAAATGACTTTAATAGGGAAAAATGCCAAAATAGGAAAAATTCTGCAGCTTTGGTAGGGAAAATGTAGCCATGTTAATTTCTTAGTTTTCATAAATATTCCAAGGTGCTATAAGGTGATCATATTGGGGGAAGCTGACGGTCTTTAGATTGGTGTAATCTGCACATTTTGAGGGCTGAGACTGCGTGATGTCATGATAAGATCTTTAAGAATAACAAGAAGTGAAACTTTTAAAGCGCTTTCATCTCTGCTGACTTAAAAGGTACAATGGCAGAAGACTGGTGCAGCCTGGAAGTTGAAAGTCCATTTTATAAGTGACCATTAGTGGCTCATAGCTGAACTTACCCATCGTAACTGTGAAGCATTTTGAACTTAAAATAGTCTTCCAAAGCACACTCTGTATTACTTTTACTTTCACTAAGTATTAGAAAAACAGGCCAATGGAGGTGTGTTTGTAAATAGATGAAGAATAATCCAAGAAACACAAGAGGCAGGGTAAAGGCCTGCAATCCTTGTTTTCAGTTGAAATAAAAACTCTTCACAGACTGATAGCTTAAGGATAATTAAAGAGCCAATCTTTGTTTTTCTTTTTTAATATCCAGCTTTCATTTTCATAACTCCTCTACCCATCTCTTTACCCTTATATGTCAGTGATATTTCTCAGCAATAATAATCTAATTATTAGTTCAAGGAGTCTGCAAAATTTTCACACTTTGGAGCCCCTGAACGAGTTTCCTGCTCTTTCTGTTCTTCTCTCCTTATCATCAGATTTCTAAACCTGACTCAGATGCGTCAGGTGGATAAAAATTTCATTTCAATGTGTTTTTTCCTGCTATTCTGTCTTGAACTAAAAACCTACAGAAATATACTTCCATAGGGAGAATACATTCACAAGACGGTTTATTTACAATCTAAAAACAGCAAGGAATGAAGATACAACTTGTAAACGTTTGCAACCATTTCCTCCCTCCTTGTGCAGTTCATTCATTTTCTGGCTCAGCAGCATAAATCTGAAAGTGAAACCTGTGCAGGTTCCATTTCGCCACGACACAGAACAGTGTTCTCAAAGAGGAAATCATTATTCTGTCCTCTCAGATCAAGGAGGAACCTCATGAGGACACTAGTACACTCACACAAGACGCTTAAAAAAACAGGTAGGAGAAGATCGGTCCTAAGATGTGGCCTGTCTTCCCTTCTGTGGTGGAGCTCCAGGAACTATCCCTAGGCTTTGCTGCCACCTTGGTAAACTAGAAGGATTTACAACGGAATTCTTCGCAGCGAGGGCTGGGCGCAGCTCGCCAGGGCTGTCCGGGCTGCCAGGGCTCAGAGAGACATCTGAAGTGGCTCTTGAGATTCTCACAGCTCCCAGCAGGTCGCAGAGAGACATTAGCACATCTACCCGGTGGGAAAGCACGCTTTCCCTTTCTACAAAACCCACGTGTCGCTCTCTAGTTTTTCAAAGCCTTCTTTTTTCTTTAGTCCGGAGTGGAGGTGGAAAGAAGGTGCTGTCCCTGGAAGGATGTGAGTTGGCACACTCTCCGAGAGGTCCCGGCTCCAATGGCTGTGACAGTGACCGCAGAGTCCTTGGAGGGATATTTTATTCTTCAAATTTCCTTTCTTAGTCTTCTAGATGCCTGGCTCGCAACCCCAGTTAACTTCCTGGAAGTGCAGAGCACTTAGTGGAGGCTGCTTTCTAAATGCACGGCAGCTAGGTTCTTTGCTTTAACCTCTTCGGAAGGATTTGGGAAATTTTTGCCAATTAAAATCTAAGCCCTTAGCGCCAATCTTGCTGGCTCAACGTTGGAACTCGGTGGTTACGTTTCTGCACCATCAGGCTTGTTTCTGTTTCAGCTGTTCTGGTACGGATGGGCCCCTCCCCACTCATTCCTGCTTTCCTCATTCACACATTCAACTCCTTCATTCGCTCTCCCAACCTGCCTGCGTCTCAGTCTCCCTTATCTGGTTAGGTCTCCGTTATTTTGTAGGTGTCATTTGCCCTACTCGTGCCCTGGCCGGATAAGTGGAAGGCACCTTTCCTGGTAGCTTCATTTAAATTTGGCACCAGTGGGTGGTGAACCCCACCATTCACCTCGCACACACAGTACAAAGCTAGAGCAGGAATCAGCTAAGAGTTCCACAATCTTCAAAGCACAGCAAGGAGAGGAAATAACACAGGGGGCGGGGGATAGAGAAAAGAAGTAAAGGAATTTTTAAAAAAAACAGCTTTGCTGGCAACTTCAATAAATCCGGTTACTGGATATATATATATATATATATATATATATATATATATATATAGAATTCCGAGGAGGGCTGGGTCTGGTCTGGATGAAACGCTAGGGCTCCTTCGCATCCTGGAGTCTGGCGCTGGAAGCCCGCCTCTGGCATCTTGCCTTGCCAGTGCCCTAGACAGCTAAAGCCCACACTGGGAACGCACGTGAACAAAGCTCTGGCCCCAGGAGCCGCCTGCGGTTTCCTAGTGGATTCCAGCTTCTCCCGGGAGTGGAGAGCGCACACAGGGTTAAGTTAGTTCCCTCCCTGGTAGGAGGGAGAGGAGGGGGAGGGGAAAGAGAGGCGTACAGTCTGAGGCTGGGTACCTTGTAGTTAGTTGTATGTTGGGAACCTGTCGCCTTCACTTGCGCGTTCGGTATCATCCATTGTCACCGCGGAGGACGGAGCGCTTGGAGATAACAGCCGTGCCCGCAATCTCCATCTCCGCGCCAAGGCACCGATTTGTCCCTGCTCAGGGTGCACTGTTGTGCCCGCACCAAGTGTCCAGCAGCGACAAGGTGGCATCTCCGTCTGGTCCACCGAGACCCAGGACCAGGGCAGCAGTTCTCAACGATGGGCAGGAGGGACCTTGGCGGCGACCCCTAAAACAATACCATGCCCCCGGAGCCCCACTGCTGCCGAGCCAGCTTCTTCCCTTTCCACCTCCCCGATCCTGTGGGATTCGGATGAGCCCATTGCGAGGAGACTCGGCCGCCAGGTAAAGGGACTGCGGTGTCAGGCGAAGTTTCTAGTAACCCCTGTAAGTGCGGCTGTGTGGGCATCCCGCCGCCTCTGGGTGGGGGGAGTCTGAACCAGTGGGGGTGGTCAGCCGGGTAGGGGTGTTTTGGGCTTAGTCTCTAAACCGCAGAAGAGAATAGGCTTCTTAGAGACACCCTGCTTTTAGAGACGATGATTTGCAGGTCACATCTAGCTTCTCCTAAGGAGTTTTGGAACTAAGCTCTGGGTCACATCTCACATCTCTTTGCTACGCGCATGGATCCTAACTGGGCGTTTCTAGAACCCCTAGGCTTGTGGGAGTCTGGCCGCTCATTTTCCCAGAATAAATCTCTGAACTTTCAAGAGTAACAACCTCCCTTCCTCATCTGCTTTTAATGCCACCAGCGTTATCAAGCGGTTACATCTAAAGCCACCAGCCCGCCCCCTGCCCGCAATCCTGGATAGATTAGCGGCTAAGAAGACGCAGCGGATGCTATTTCGTTTTCCCTAGAGTTGGGGGTGGGTGGTTCTTCTCTCAAAACCAAATGCCTCGACCCTTCTGGTTCTCCTGGGGCTGGCTGTCTCTGAGCTGGGGCGCTCACGCCTACCGGGGCCGCAGAAGGGGTTGGCGAGTGCGCGCTGAGCTCCGGAGACTGAACCTGAATCCTTTGCCCCGCGCAGAGTGCATGGGGTGGGGGGCAGGGCTCTGGCTGGAAAAGCAACTCCCCACCCTCTAGCCGGTGCTTAACACAGGGACTGGAGTCCCCCAAAAGGCTGGGAAAAGGCCTAGCCAGCTGTCACTGTGTCCCAGCTGGGACTCCAGGGCTTCCCAGAAAGATCCTTCCGCCCTGCTGACCACTCTAACTCGCCCTTGCGCTCACTTGGCGCCGGCGCGGTCATTTCTCTTTTATAATCAGACCTGAGATCAAGGTGTCAAGTTGAAAAGCCGGATCTAGACAGGGAAAAGAAACCACTAGGGAAGAGCATAGAGTGGGGCGGGCTAGATCGACACTTGACGCCTGGAAAACTCTGGGAGCATGCGAGGCTGCAGCCAGCTGCTGTGGCTGGGGGAGGCCGAGGCCACCGCTGCTGTCTCTGTGGGCGCTTTGCTCCTGGAACCTCCAGGCAAGATGGCACTCACTGTCTGCCCCCCTCGGGTTAGCGTCATCATTCGCACCCCCCTTCCCCTGGGAGATGAAAGGCTATGCAGGTGTAAGCCAATGCGTTTTACAGTCACCCTTGCATAATGCAATCGAAACCTTGCCCAGCGCTCTTGAGTTCCAGTAGCACAGTATCTCCCAGTGTGTGCACGTGTGAGCGCGGGTGTCAGCGCGCGTTGGAGGGATACGTGCGTGGTTTGAGAGACGAATCCAAGTGGTTTTAAATTGACGTAGGCGCTCGAATACATGAAAGCACTAGAAACGACAGGGATGCACAGGAAATAAAAACAATCGGGGAAGTGGTGCCAAGTGACTCAAGCTTTGAACTGAGGACCCTGAGTGCGGTCGCGCCAGGGGCGCGTCCGGAAATCATCCTCAGCCTGTCTCGGGCACCACCCTACCCCGGCTCTTCTACCCTGAATGCGATCCCAAGGGTGTTGACCCGGGGCTGCTTTCAAACTTGAAGGTTGCCTGGCCACACTGAAAGCGCGTCTCGGCGCAGCCGAGTGCTTGACGCGGGCTCTTTCTCCCTCTTCTGTTCAGATTCAGCCTCTCTCCGGACTTGTTAAAACATGACAGCGATTTACTAGAGGCTGTGCGCGCAGCGAGGAAATGGGGTGCACACTACACTCTGCCTCTAAGAAAGAGAACTCCCCCGGTTTCCTTCGATTTTTCCTTTTTAAGCTTTGCAAAGAGATTACGAAGCAGAAACGTTGGGCTTCTTTAACTGTCCAGCCAGTTTCTTAAATCTTTAAAACAGAATTTTTGATTTTCCATTGCAACCTACAGGGACGTAGAACTACGGTCTTTCCAAGCAGTAGACTATGCGATAGGAGAAAGTGCGATTTGTAAAATTATCGTGTCAAACTCTGGATGATAAAAGTTTCTTTAAGAAAAAAGTCTGGGACGAGGGAACCTCCGAGGGCCACGGGGGTGGGCCATCTCCCCAAGGCTGTCTGCTTTTGAAATAACGCCATTTTGGTTGAAGCCATGCTATATTTTTAACCTCTAATCTCACATTTCGATCATTGCTCAGAGTCTCAGTAATTGATCCTCCCGCCTGGAAGTACAGCATTAAACAGACACAGGGGAAATCGCCTTTCATGGTTCAGAGGGTGGCATTATCCCTCGGAGCTGGGGGGCAGGGCGAGCCTGTGCAGCAGAGAGGCAAGACAGGATGCCTCCGGGTCAAGGTGGCCCCCTCTGGGCTGGCCCCGGAGCTCTGCGATTTTCTCCTGGGTGCACAGGGTTAAAAGCTGAGTCTGACTTTGCCTCTAGGAAAGCTGAGGGTTGCAGCCGCTCCTCCCAAGCATTCTTTAAACCAGAAAAGTGGGAGGGACTCCGCGAGGGAGGGAGAAGAGGAGGGAGGAGGAAGGGAGGTAAAGAAGGCTCAAGGAGAGGAGCGCGCCAGAGCGCGAGGGACTGAGGGAGAGGAGGAGCGCGGAAGCCGCGGAGGCGAACCCGCGAATTCATTACTGTAAACATCTCCCGGGGGTGTCAGAGGGGTGGGGGCGGGGACCTCGGCGCCTACATTAGCCTGGACGCGCCGGGTCGAGGCAGCAGTGGCTTTGGAGCGGCCTCTGCACCCGCGCCGGGAGGGCGCAGCACTTGGAGAGGCTCCGCGCCCGCCCGGCTCCGCGGGGTCCATGCACGGAGCCCCAGTAGCGCCCGCCTAGCTCTCCCGCAGACCCGGGGTCTTTGGTCTCCAGGAGTCCGGGCGCCGCCCGCCGGGGGACTGCTCTCCACCGCCTTCCCCGCTCGCGCCCTACTTCTCTTGGGGTCCGGAGAGGGGGAGGCAGAGGAAGCGTGGAGGCGGGAGCAGTCGCGGCCGCAGCCGAGAAAAAGTGGCATGCCGGAGCCCTGGAGGCGGAGGTGGCTGAGGACGGGGGAAGATGATGCCGCGGCTCCGTAGGGGACGTAGGCGAGAGCGAGCCAGGCGAGCGGGGCGCCCGGGCGCCCACGGGCTTCGGGGAGGCGCGCGGCGCTCCAAAGCTCTGGCTTCCGCTCCCCCGCGCCCCGACGCTGCGGGCGACCGGGCTCGGCTCCTGCAGCCGCCGCCGCCGCCGCCGCCACCACCAGAAGGACGGAGCAAAAGTTTGGATCTGGGGGAGGGCGCAGCGCTGAGCGGGATTACCACCCGGGCTGGAAGGAGACCTCAGCAACCTCCGCAGGTAACGCTCCTTGAACCTTCTCCCTACAGCCAGTCTGCTGGGCTCCCGCTCCCCGTGGGTGCCTCCTTTTTTTTTTTTTTTTTTTTTTTTGCCCCCACCTCCCAGCACTCGCCAAGGTTTGGCTGAAAGTTAAAAGGGAAGCTAAGTTCAAGATCTTGAGGATGGGTACCTGGTGCTGGCAGATCTATGATGACATTGGGGGTGGGGGTGCGCCCTGCGCCGGATCACCAGCTGCGTGGGGAGATGAATCCCCCGCAGGAGTGGGCGAGAACCCGAAGCCCCAGCTGGTGCCCCATCTTGTTTGGCTCTTGGGAAATTTGGAATGTGAATCCAGGGGCTTATAGTGTGTGCCGCGGTGCGGGAAATGATGGATGTATTTCACCCCCTCCCCATTTACTTCTTCAGAAAAAGTGATTTAAGCCTACACTCATTTGTCTGCTTTGTTTAGCTGGCTCAGGACAACAAATTTGGGAAGAAGTGTGAATATTGCAAGCAAGGGGCAATGTGTATTTTTTTTTTTTCCTTTTGACATCAGTAGCCCTCTTTCCATTCACCTTCTGGCGTCATAAAATAGGAACTTCAGAAGTCACATTTTCCTTGAGGGATGAGATGAAGCATGCTAGACTAGTCCTTGGTGGTGTGAATTTGTAATGATTATCCCTTGTGTACGTGTGTGGGGGAGTGTGCTGGGGGTGGTGGGAGGGAGAGGGTGTTGCAGGGATGCGGATCCTCCTTCCCCTCCTTGATAGAGATGGCCAGCTATGCTGGCTTGGTGAGTGGCCTCCTGTGTACACTGAGCAAGCCCAGGGGCGCCACCGAAGACAGTCCACATTTTCCCCACAACAGACTTACTCAGGCTAAGAAAATAGTGGCTGCTCACTCCTGGAGAGAAGATTCTAACCCCAACTCCCCAGTCCCCTTTGGAGCCTCCACAGAGTTTAGAGTTTCATCGCAGCTGCTATCATCTTTATTATGATGATCATTATTAATTCACCTGGAAAGTCATCATGCCTTCGCCTGTGAATGGGAAACGGTTTCCAAGAGCTTTTGATTGATTTTAATGGAGGGAATCTCTTTGTAAAGCTTACAGTAAGCTAATCAAGTAAGTGCAAGGCAAAAATCCATGTAAAGGCTCAGGCAAGAGTGCAAGGTGCTGATTAGATTTCTTCACATGCTGCATTTGCTATGCAAAGCCTCTTCTAAATGGGAGCTATTGCTCCCCATTCAGCTGGGAGGCTCCTTAATCACACAGGGTTTCAGGGAGCTTTGGAGCATGTCCACTAGCTCACAGGCTTATTGCTAAATTTATTATGTCTAACTTCTCCCAGCCAAAAGCTAATATGAAGGCTAGCTTCCATATCAGGACCCAGATTGTCTGTGGGCTTAACTCCTGTGACCTTATTAAATCTCCAGTGAAAGGATCCCCAAAACATTCAAGGTAAATAGAATGCAGCTGGCATTTTGTCCAGGAATGTATTTGATGGCTGCACTAGGAAGGTAAAATTTTAGGTCAATATATGAAACATTATAATTGGATTATTATCATTTAAATTATGGAGCAACATATGCCAGTTACATATGATCAGCTGGCCACCATGTTAGAAGAAAACCAGCCTTCGGATAATTCAAATAAGAGGAAAAGTTGCTTATTTCCACACAGTCCTCTTGCT